AGTGTTCCCATGTTCTGTTTGAACAACTGCCTCTTGGTCCATGGACAGATTCCTCATGAGCACAATTAAGTGTTCAGGAATACTCATACTTCGTAATGTTGTCCATAGCTTGCCATGATACACACACTCGAAAGCATTTGCATAATCAATAAAGCACAGGTAAACATCTTACTGGTGTTCTCTGCTTTCAGCCAAGAACCTCTGGAAGTTCTCTGTCAATGAATGCTTGCAGCCATTTCTGTATTACCTTCAGTAAAACTTTATTTGCATTGGATATCAAAGATATTGTCTGACGATTTCCACATTCTGTTGCATCACCTCTCTTTGTAATGGTCAAAAATATGGATCTCTTCCAGTCAGTCAGATATTTGTCTTCCAAATTTGTTGGCATAGATGAGTGAGTGCCTCCTGTGCCGCCTCGCTTTCTTGAAAAATTTCAATTTGTATTCCATCAATTCCTGGAGCCTTGTTCTTTGACAATTCCTTCATTGCACCTTGGACTTCTTCCTTCAGTATCACTGGCTCTTGATCATATGCTACTTCCTGAAATGGTTGAACATCAAGCATTTCCTTTTGGTACAGTGATTCTGTATTCCTTCCATCTTCTTTTGATGCTTTCTGCATTATTCAATAATTTTCACAGAGCATCCTTCCATAATGAAAGTCGAGGCTTAATTTTTTTCTTCAGTTCCCCCAGCTTGAGAAATGCTGAGCGTGTTCTTCCTTTTTGGTTTTCTGACTCCAGATCTTTGTACATTTTGTTGTAATATTTGACTTTTGTCTTCTTGAGCTGACCTTTGAAATTTTCTGTTCATCTCTTGGACCTCCTCATTTCTTCCATTTGCTTTAGCATCTCTATGCTGGAGAGCAAATTTCAGAGTCTCTTATGACATCCATTTTGATCTTTTCCTTCGTTCTTGTCTTCTTAATGACTTTTTGCTTTCTTCATGTATTATGTTCTTGATGTCATCCCACAACTCTCTTGTCTTCAGTTAGTGTTTAATGTATGAAATCTATTCAGATGATCTCTAAATTCAGGTGGGATATAGTCAAAGTCATATTTTGGCTCTCATGGACTTGTTTTCATTTTCTTCAGCTTCAGTTTGAATTTGCATAAGAGTAATTGATGGTCTGTTCTACAATCTGCCTCTGGCCTTGTTTTGACTGATGATATGGAGCTTTTCCATCGTCTCTTTCCGCAGATGTAGTCAATTTAATTTCTATGTATTCCATCTGGTGAGGTCCATGTGTGTAGTCATCTCTTATGCCATCTAAAGAAGGTATTTGAAATGAACAAGTCATTGATTTTGCAGAATTCTATCATGCGATCTCCAGCATCATTTCGATCACCAAGGCCATATTTTGCAACTACTGATTCTTCCTCTTTGCTCCCAACCTTTGCATTCCAATCACTAGTAATGATCAATACATCTTGATTGCCTGTTTGATCTATTTCAGATTGAAGAAGTTGGTAGAATTCTTCTATTTCATCCTCATCGGCTTTAGTGGTTGGTGCATAAATTTGAATAATAGTGGCATTAACTGGGCTTCCCTGTAGGCACATGGATATTATTCTATCACAGACAGCATTGTACCTCATGACTGATCTGGATATGTTCTTTTTGACGATGAATGTAACACCATTCCTCTTCAACTATATGGTTGTCAGATTCAAAATGGCCAATACCAGTCCATTTCAGCTCACTAATGCCTAAGATATCGATGTTTATGCATTCCATTTCATTTTTTACAATTTCCAATTTTCCTAGAGTCATCCTTTGTACCTTCCATGTTCCGATTATTAATGGATGTTTACAGAAATTTCTCTTCATTTTGAGTTGTACACCCTTAAGCAAATGAAGGTCCTGCGGGCTTTACTCCCATGGGCTTTAATCCATTCACATCATCACAGTGAACTCGACTTTGAGGAGGCAGCTCTTCCCCAGTCACATTTTGAGTGCCTTCTAACCTGAGGGGCTCATTTTCTGGCACTATATATATCTGACAATGTTTCTCTGCTATTCATGAGGTCTTCAGTGACCAAATATTTGGAAGTAGTTTGTCACTCCTTCTTCCTAGTTTGTCTTTCTTTGAAAGCTCATCTGAAACCTGTCCACCATGGGTGACCCTGCTGGTATTTAAAATACCATGGCATAGCTTCCAGAATCACAGCAAACTGCAGTATGACAAACTGACAGACGAGTGGTGGGGAAAACCTCTTAGACATAACTAAATGCTACATAGGACAAATGTCTTAGGTTCCAAAGTGAAAACCATGTGACTGTGGGCTATCTATATCAATTGACACAATATAGTTCATAAAGATAATGTTTTACATTCCACTTTGGTGAGTAGCATCTGAGGTCTTAACTTGTGAGTGGCTATCAAAGATATAGCTCTTGGTCTTTTCAAGTTGGGGCAATTTGGAGTGAAGAAAAAGACTCAACAGAACAATTTGTCCAGTAGATTAATGGACCACATGAACCTCAGCATACAAGACAGGACCCCAAGACCATAAGAACTAGATGGTGCCTGACTACCACTACTAAACACTCAGAATAGGATCACAAGAATGGTCCCTGGCAGAAAAAAATCAAATACACACACACAAAGTCAAGCTTGCTGATCTGACAGAGAGTGAGAACCTCTTGATACTATGGCTGTAACACGCCTTCCAACTTGGAACTGAGGCTATTCCCAGAGACCATGCTTTCAGCCAAAGAGTACACAGGCCCATAAAAGTAAGCAAAAATTCCTGAAGGGAACATGTTCTGTAGAACAATCAATTATATGAGATCAAAAGAACATTGGCCCAAAAGTAAACATAAGAAGGCAAGAATAGGTAGAAAATCCAAACAAAAAGAATGGGGAGCCCAGGGCAGGAATGGCAAGTGTGTTAGTACATTGGGAGGAATGTAACTAGTGTCACGGAACATATTATGTAGAAACTAATGAATGGGAAACCAATTTGCTCTGTAAACTTTCACGTAAAGCACAATAAGAATAAAGACACGGCGCTGTAGGATAAGCACTGGATCGCAAGGTCAGTTGGACTACAAGGTTGGCAAACCAAACTCAACAGCTGCTTCTCGGAAACCCTATACAGGGTCACTCTGAGTTGGAACCAATTCAACAGCACTTAACAACAACACCATATGAGTATGAAAGCGGTATATAGAAATGTATTTGGTTCCTGTTTTTCTTTCTACAAGGACCAGCAATGTCTTGCATTAATTATGTGCTGACTACTTGTATTTTGATGGCTTTAGTCATTTCTCTTTGTATTAGTTATCCTTTACGCTAATATAAAGGTATGGAGAGATTTATCTTAAAGTTTAGCTTGGAGTATGTTGTTGCTGTTGAGTTGACTCTGGCTCAAGGCTACTCCACGTACAAAAGATGGAAACGTTGTTTAGACCTGCACCATCTTCATGACCATTGGTGTGCTTGAGTCCATTGTGGCAGTGACTGTGTTTTCTGAGAAACTTCCAACCTGGATGTTCAAAATACCTCATCTTCCAGCACAGTATTTTGTTGTGACCATAGGGTTTTAGTGGCACTGTAGGATAAGCATTGGCCTGCTGACCAGCCACTCCTTAGAAACCCTATACAGGATTAATATCATCAGTCTGACTCCATGGCACTTAACAACAGTGCAAGCACAACAATATTCAAAAGTAGATAACCAGGTCTTCTTTCCTAATCTGTCTCAGTCTGGATGCTCCACTGAAACCTGTCTACCAGGGGTGATCCTGATGGTATCTGAAATACTACTACTGTAGCTTCCAGCATCACAGCAACACAAAAGCCACTAGAGAAAAACAAACTAATAGACAGATGGTGCTCTATGCACTTATTTTATATGAATTCTCTTTGTGTCTAGGTACACTTCTAGGCATGTATTTTATGTTTATAATGATGTTGGGACAATTACATAATGCTTCACGTAACCCAGAAAAGTTATGGTAAATGTGTCATTTTCTGTCTTGTACATCAGTTCTTATTTATGTGTTATCAGCTAAAGTCGTGGAAGAGATTGACCGTGTGGTTGGCAGACACAAGAGTCCTTGCATGCAGGACAGAAGCAGCATGCCCTACACGAATGCTGTGCTGCACGAGATCCAGAGATACATTGATCTTGTCCCCTTGAGCCTGCCCCATAAGGTGACTCATGACATTAAATTCAGAAACTACCTCATTCCCAAGGTAAGATTTGTTTCTGTCATACTGCCACACAATGCTCTTGAGGCCCCCATATTAATAGTATAATTCCAACCCTCTACTAACACAAATAGCGTAATGGTTTCGAATCGGGCTGCGAACCTTAAGGCCAGAAGTTCGAAACTACCAGCCATTCCGCAGGAGAAAGATGAGGCTTTCTGCTCCTGTAAAGATTTACAGCCTCAGAAACCCTGTACAGGGTCGCTATGGGTTGGAACCGACTCGAAGGCACTTAACAACAACAACTAACACAAACTGAGAAAAGTGCAAATGTAACAAGAGTGAGTTAATGGCTTTTGTGTTGTTGACACTTTGAGACTATAAAGCCTTATAATAGTTCTTGATAACAAACTTGAAAGATGATCTGCCAGTGTAATCTTTCAAGTTCATTAGGCTTCTTTATGATTGTTTTGGGTAACCTTAGCTGTTTACATCTCAAATAAATTTTAATAGCTGTTTGTCAATTTCTCAAAATCCTATTGGGCAGTTCTACTTTTCCTATAGGGTCACTATGAGTTGTAGTTGGTAACTGATAAATTGTATAAATTCTAAAATCCCTTTCCTTTTTTTGTTCAAAATATAAGAAAACATAACTGATGTTTTTGTTTTGATGACCTTACTTCTATAAATCTTATTAAATTCACTTATCTTTGCAAGTAATTCGCTTGTGGATTCATTTGGAATATCTATGTACAAAATCTTGTGATCATTATTCTGTGATATTAAAGGTAGTAAAAAAAAAAAATTAATGTAAATTTGATTCAGTTTCATTTGGTAGTTGTTTAATTTCCAAATGTGGTTCTAACATGTTAGGGGGCTTCCAAAAGTTTGTGGAAAATATTTAATTAAAGGTTGTTGGCATTTCTCCACAAACTTTTTAAAGACTCCTCACATATCCTAAAAGTAGATGGTCTTAAAGAACAAAAAAATTATTTTCTCACATTTCTGGTACCAAAAGTCCAAAGCACAATGTAGCCTGAAGGAGAGGTCCTTCTTTGTTTATTTAACTTTTATTAGCCAGCAAGCCTTAGAGTTCCTAGGCTTGTAGATTCATCTGCCTCTCTCACCATTTGATGACATCTGTCTTGCCATTTTAAAATAACTCCTACATTGTTAGAATACTACTGAAAGAGTAGATTAAATTGCATAGAATAAATTAAACAGATTTGTTTTCATAATTAAATCATACTAGCATATGGCTAGGAATCCTACACATACTTTGGGGGCCAAAATTCAATCAATAACAGTGGCTAAAATATAACTACAACAGACGTGAACCTATTTATATTCCTTACCTATAATTTATATTCCTTACTTTTCCTATTTATGTGAATATTTATGTTTTACTAAAGAAATATAAATGTGTTTAATTACATAGTGCTCAGCATTTCTCAAGCATAAAGAACTGAAGAAAAAAATCAAGCCTTAAACTGCAATACTGGAGAATTCTATAAACAAAATATTGAATAATGCAAAAAGCATTTTAAAAAGATGGGAGGAATACACAGAGTCACTGTATCAAAAGAAATGGTCGATGTTCGACCATTTCAAGTGGTAACATATGATCAAGAGCCAATGCTAGGCTTGCAGAATGTGCCCTTTGGTTGTTTAAATGATTATATATTCCTGAGTATTTTTGTGTATATCCACCCCTCCCAAAAAAAAACAAAAAACCTGAGTGAATTAAAGCAAATACTGTTGAATGATGATACACGAAGGAGACTGTAATCATTGCAATGAAATGATGAGTGTAAAAGCAATGTTTTCCCATGTAAATTATCACTTAATCCACAATAAAAACTTAAAAAAAAAAAAAAAAGAGAGAGAGAGAGCCAATGCTATGGGTGGAAGAAGTCCAAGGTGCACTGAAGGCATTGACAAAGAACAAGACTCTGGGAATTGGTGGAATACAAATAGAAATCTTTCAACAAACTGATGCAGCACTGGAGCCACTCACTCATCTATGCCAAGAAATTTGGAAGGCAACCACCTGGCCAAATGATTGAAAAACATCCATTTCTGTGTTCATTCTAAAGAGAGAAGAACTAACAGCATGTGGGAATCATCACACAATATCATTAATATCTCATACAAGTAAAATTTTGCTAAAGATCATTCAAAATTGGCTGCAACAGTACTTTGACAGAAAAATGCCAGAGGTTCAAGTTGGATTCAGATGAGGACATGAAATGAGGGAAATCATTGCTGACATCAGATGGATCTTGGCTGAAAGCAGAGAATACCAGAAAGATGTTTACCTGTGCTTTACTGACAATGGAAAGGCTTTTGACTATATGGATCATGACAAGCAATGGATAGTATTGCAAAGGCACTCAGAACTTGACTTGGGAAGAACTACCTCCTCAAAGTAGAGTTGATCATAATGACATGGATGTAGTTAAGTTGTGGGGACCTGCATTAGTTGATGTGGCACAACTCAAGATGAGAAGAAACAGCTGCAAACATCCATAAATAATTGGAATGTGATATGTATGATATGAGAATCTAGGAAAATTGGAAGTCGATAAAAATGAAATGGAATTCATAAAAACTGATAATTGTAAGCATTAGTGAGTTGAAATGAATTGGCATTGGCCATTTTGAATCTGGCAATCATATGATTTATTACTTCAGGAATGACAGTTCAAGAAGAATGGCATCACATTCTTAGAAATGTGCTCCTTAGAAACTCAGATGGCCAGATTTTATCTCTCATATTTAGCAAATAGTATCTGGAAGGACCAATCCCTGGAAAAGGACATCATGCTTGGTAAAGTACAGGGAAAGCAAAAAAGAGAAGTAGATAATAAGATGGAATGGCACAGTGGCAGGTACAATGGGCTCAGCCATAGCAGCAATTGTGAGGATGGCGCAGGACCAGGCGGTGTTTCATTCTGTTGTACACAGTGTTGCTATGGGTCAAAACTAACTTGATAGCACCTAACAAGATCACCAGATCTTTCTGTTTGGGCGTCAGCTTAACTGTTTATGCCATTCAGAGACTGCTACTCTTCTTTGTAAGTTGGACTTGTGTCTTAACCCTCTGAATCTTTTCATTTTACTTTTTTTTCTTTTTTACACTTGTTGATAATGCCAACCATCAGTAGAATGTTGCCAGAATTAAATCAAGTAACATATGGAAAAATGCAAGTTGAATTATAAGATCCCCTCAGAGTGATAAGTTTACAACCTGAAAAAATATTGTTTTAGTGAGGATAAGTGCATCTAAGGAAATTCAGTATACAAAGAGGAACAAATTTCAATTTGATTATCTTGTCTTTTTAATCTCATTTACTAAAAACAATATATTTTCTATGTTTGCTTGTTTGTTTCTTTTCAGTACACAGACATCTTTGAAGATTCCAACTAAGGTCATAGTAACTGTTGCTCAGTCTAGTTTTTGTGATTGTTTCCTTCAGATAAGATTCCAGTTAGCTATCTTTGACAAAAAAAAAAAACAAAAAAAACTGAAATGGTGATGTGTACATCTCATTGAGTACATTGTGAAGCCAGGGACACATAATTTATCCCATTGTGGGTGATGCAAAGGTCCTCTCTTAGAAAGAGGGAGCTACAAAATGCCCTACATCTAGAAGACGCTCCTTTTATATGTCATTTATAAAAATCCTTGGCATGGTACTTAGTGCATTGTTAATATCTTGTTTCTCAAATCATTCATTTCAGCAGTAATTGCTGTTCTTGGCTTGAATTAATTATTCTTGCCTGAATTGTTACAAAATGATAATTTTCTAATTTTAATATCCCTTCTGCATTTTTTCTGAGATTAAGCTATAAAGAAGCAATCCCTGCCATTCTCAAATTATGAAAAACAAGTTGCACGATCACTGCCCAATGCTCAATAGTTGTAAGAGTAATTGTTATCATCCCATAATAGGATATTTTGATTAGATCAAATGTCTACTTGAAAAAGCCAAGAGTGACTTCTGCTTTAAACCATAAGCAACATGTAAAATAGAGAAATAAAGTGATGAGCTACAGTAACAGATGGAAACAGGCAATAGGCCCAATCTTGGTTATTAGATGATATTCAGAAAGACTGACATCCAAATACTTGCTACTTCCAACGCTACTGGAGGCCACTCTAGCAAGATCACTGCCCTTAGACATAAACTTATTTCCTCTTATTTCTTTGTCTATCTGGGTGGAAACGTTACTGCCTTTCTTTAAATATGGCCACCTCAACTTTAGATCATAACACATTGTACTAAGAGATTTCCAACATTTCTTCCAACTCCATGAATTCATTTTTTTCTGAATATTTTCTTGTATGTTTGGTGAAAGTATATGCATCAAAACAAGACCCCATTCAACAATTTCTACACATAATTTTCAATGACATTGGTTACTTTCTTCACATTGAATCAACATTCTCATTATTTTCATTCTAAGCATCCCATTCCCATTAACTTGGTCTCATAGCTCCCCAAGTCTATCATACATGCTTTAAAGTAACTATTGACCATTTGATCTCATATAAATAACGTTTTAAAGGGCACCGTATCAAGGATGACATTCTTTACTTTTTAAGCTAACTATTTAGTGACTTAAGCAGATATTTTCAGATCAATGTTTACAAAAAAATCTCTTGACAACAGTCTCAGAGATCCTCCAGCCTTAATGGGTCTCATAAATCTGGATTATTTTAGAATGTAGAATTCTATTCCACATTTTTCTCCCTTTCTATCAGGATCCATTTATTCAGACACTGATCGTAACTTTCAGTTGTTGTTAAGTGCTGTCGAGTCAATTCCGACCCATAGCGACCCTGTATAGGGTTTCCAAAGAGCAGCTGGTGAGCTTAAACCACCAACCTTGCAGTTCAAACGACTTTGCAGTATGACACATTAGCCCACAGCGCCACACCAGGACTCCTGTAACTTTCAGTAATGGGAGCCAAAAAAGTTAATTTCATGATATGATTGCTTATATCTAAGAAGTATCAGCACCTGTAGCCCTTGTTTGTTTTTATATGTTGCTGTTGTTATAAAAATATTATGTATAATGTAGCATTTCTCCACAATTTCATTATAACCCAGTTTATCTGTGTCTGTTCATTCTAGGGCACAACCATATTAACATCACTGACTTCTGTGCTGCACGACAGCAAAGAATTCCCCAACCCAGAGAAGTTTGATCCTGGTCACTTTCTGGATGAGAATGGCAACTTTAAAAACAGTGACCACTTCATGCCGTTCTCAGCAGGTAACATAGATTTATATCCGTCTGTAATTTGGGGTACAAGAAACCTGTATGAGACCACTGGGACTTGCACTGTGCCTACTCTGAAGCTGTTAGAATGACTCCCAATGCCCATTTACTTTGATACATCATCACTATTGGGCCAGAGCAATGGATTTTTGGAATGTGACACAGTTCTTCCAAAATGAGGAAACTAGAGAATGGGTTGATTGAATTTGGCCTCCATCACTCAGCTACCCAGAACTCCTCCTACAAGGTGAAATTCATTTAAGCTGGCAGCACCTTTCCTGAGAAAGGTCTCTAACACAACAAGTTTGTTGTCTTCTGTGTCACACCCATCACCTTTCAAGCTGATCTCTTGGAATACAAATACCCATAAACATAAAGTCAGTATTTAAGGGAGTCTCACCCGTTATGGTAAGCAGGTCATTGTAATCTATAGGACTAGTGCTATGAGAAGGTGCCTATTTTCTGCTCTCACATACCTCACAGTAAGGCATAAAATAAAATTAGCAACATTATAATAGAAGCAATGAAATATGAACTGCCTCACAGGGCAGAGAGCAAAGAAGAGATGGAAAGGCCTTTTTTTTTTTTTTTTTTTTTGCATGCAAATATACAATTAATGAAACATTTCTCATTTCAACATTTTTACACATATAATTCACTGACATTGATTAGTTCATCATATTACATATGTCACTAATATCTGTTTCCTGTATTTTCCACCATCCTTAAGCAAAAACTCAATACTCTTATGTGATGAGAGTCTCTTCTTTATCTCTCTCACCCTTGTTACCCACTAATAAATTCTGATATCTATATACTTGCATATTCTAGATATTTCACATAAGTGGGATCATGCAATGTTTGTAGCTTTGTGAGTGATTTATTTCACTCAGCATAATGTTTTCAAGGTTCATCCATGGTATAAACATATCAAAACTTCATTTCACTTTATGGCAGTGTAATATATCATTGTGTACAGATTTCTCTTTGCATTCCTTCATTCAATTCTTTTGGATATAAACCTAAGACTAGGATTGCTGGCTTATATGGTAATTCTGTGTCATGCTCTCAGGAACCTCAGAACTATTTTTCACAGCTGCTAAACATTTTACAAGGAGGTCAGCAGTTCAAAACTACCAGCTGTTCCGTGGGAGAAAGACGAGGCTTTCTTCTGCTCCCGTGAAGATCTACAGTCACGGAAACTCTGTACAGGTTTGCTATGAGTTGGAACCAACTCCACGGCACATCACCACCATATGTTTTTCAGACCCAATCAGTATTATGAAGATTCCAGATTTATACATCCTCCCCAACACCTGTTTCTATCTCTATCTAACCATATTTATTAACCATATGTATTAACCATAGCCATATTAGTGAGTGTGAGGACCATGAAGAATACAATATGGGTCCTGCCCACATGGAATTCTCAGAACGAAACAGAGTACTTTTCTGAGCAGTGACCTGGGCCAGGAGAAAGACACCGAACACCTGACTTCCTGGTAACATCAACTGGAACCTAATAACTAGTACAAAAACAACTCCATCTGTCATAGATGTTCTCTCTCTCACTGCCATGGAGCTGATTCTGAGTCACAGCAATTCTGACTCGTGTGGTTTCAGAGACTGTAAATCATTACAGGAGCAGAAAGCCTCATCATTCTCCTGTGGAACATTAGTGGGTTTGAACTATTGACCTATAGATTAGCAGTCCTGTGTGTATCCTACAGCACCACCAGAGCTCCTGATTAGACATGATTTTTCCTGATTCTCTTATACCTGGATCACTCTGGATGCTTTCCTGTCTGCCCAAGAATCTTGCCACTGTCTTCTGTCTGTAAGTTCCCTAATAAAGTTAGATTGCATCAACCTGGATTTTCCACCTCTTTTTTCCCCCAGTATCCTTGGAGCCAGTTCTCCCAGTGGTCTGATAGGTTGTGATAGTGGGGGTGAAGTGATCGCTCTGTGTGCTTTTGGTTTGCATTTAAAAATTTTTTTTACTGTGAATTAAGTAAAGGATTACAGACAAGACCATCAGTTTTACATTCAACAAATCACACACTGTGTTCATGTCAATGATTACATACCTTTCCGTCCAGAAACATTTATCCCACTTCCTCCCTTTGGTTCCTACTTCCTCCGTTCCACCCACATTCCCATCCCTTCTCAACTTTGTCCAAAATTTCGTCCTATCATTGTACAGTTGTGTATTTCTTTTATCAATTCTATTAAGAGTCTGATTTTATATTTTGAGGCTCTTTCAATGAGAACATAGATATGTATTATGGTTATGTTCTCTTGTTCTACTATCCCTTTAATCATGCGATGATGTCCTTCTTTGTCTCTTATACTGGTTTTTGCCTTAAAATCTATTTTATCAGAAATTAATATTGCCACTCCTTCTCTGTTTTGATTACCATTAGCTTGATATATTTTTCCATCCTTTGATTTTTAAATCTATTTTTGTCTCTGTGTGTAAAGCGTGCCTCTTGTAGACATCATATTGAAGAATACTATTTTCTTATCCATTCTGCTACTCTCTATCTCTGGTGCATTTAATCCATTGATGTTCATTGTAACTATTGATAAGTATGAATTTATTTTGTTGTGTATATTTTTTTGTGGTTCTGCTAGTTTCCTTGTACCACATATTTTTTTAGTTCATCTGCGCATTTTCTTATCAATTTTTTCAGTACTAGTGTTTTAATTATATACTAAATCCTCATGGTTTTCATTTTTCTTGATTTCATTTGAAGGTATATAAATTTTCTTTGAGGTTACCTGCAATTTATTAATTTCTTCCCCAGTTTAAAACGGTCTGTTTTATCTTGAAATCTACTTGATTTTCTTGCCATTTTAAAGCTCTATAGCTATGCGTTTCCCTCCTTTTGCTTTGCAGTTGTCTTCATTATAAATTTCTATCTCTGATTCCCTATTTTCACCCTTGTAGATTTGTTTTATACTTGTTGGATACTTCTGTATCTGGATTGAATTCTGGGTAGTGTTGCCGTGTATGTCAATTTCTGGGTATTGTTTGCTGTTGTTGGTTCTAACTTCAAAGGACTCTCTTTAGTAATTTTTGGAAAGGTTACCTTGTTTTTACAAATCCTTTAACTTCCTTTTATCTGGAAATACACTAATTTTGCTGTCATATTTGAGGGACAGTTTTGCTAACTATATGCTTCTTGGTTGGGTTTTTTTTTTTTTTTTTCCTTTTCTTTTCTTTTTATGTCTCCAGTAATAGTTAAGGTTAAGTGTCAACTTGACTGGACCAGGATTCCCAATGGTTTGGCAGTTGATATGTATCCCCATGGTGAGATCTATCAAAGTGTAGTTAACTCTGTCATTGACTATGAACAGTGTACTTAACTCTATGGTGATTGGCCAATAACAGGCATAGTTAACTCCATGATGATTGGCTATGAGAAGCCAATCAATTGAAATTATCTGTCTTTAGGGGTGTGGCCTGCTTCCAATATACTGGACATTCAGGCAAAGCTGCTGGATCTGGATCTTGCATCTGGGTCATCCTCCAACTTCTAATTATTTGGACTTGAGCTGTTTCCTTGATAAAAACTTCTCTTTATAGATATGTTTCACTGGTCTTGCTTCTCTAGAGAACCCAGACTAAGACATCTCCCCATTGCCTTTTGCCTGCATGATTTCTGCTGAGAAATTAGGGCTTACTCTTAATGGCTCTCCTTTTTTGTTTTTCTCAAGCATCTTTCAGAATTCTTTCCCTATCTTTGATTTGGAGATTTTGATTATGATATGTCCTGGTGATTTTCTTTTGGGCATCTATCCTGTTTGGGGTTCAATAAGTTTCTTGAATGCTTATCTTTGCAACTTTCATAATCTTAGGAATTTTCTTCCAAAAGTGCTCTGACTGCCTTTTCTCTACTTTTCTTTGCCTCTTTTGGTTCTGGAATTCCAGTTACCCATAAGTTATTCCTCTTCATGCTGTCCCACATCAATTTTAGGCTTTCTTCAGATTTTTTCATTCTTTTTTCTGATTGTTCTTCTAGATTACAAGTACAGAGAGATTTATCTTCAAGCTCACTAATTTGGGCTTCCATTGATTCAAAACTGCTTCTTTACCCTTTCAATGTATTTTCCATTTCTGAAATCTAATATTAATCTTCTGGATTTCTATTTGCAAGTTTTATATTGTCTATAATCCATTATCTATTTTGTTTGATTATTTCTATAGTGCTTTTCTGAATTCTTCCTTGTTTTCCTTGACTGTCAATCATTTGGAGATACCCAAATATCATTCTGGTTATTTCCTGACAATGTATTGCTGCAACAGTTTTTATTTTCAGCAAAATATTATCTGCATGTGATATTAATAATATTGTTCAATAATTTCTGCATTTGTTATAACACCTTTATTTAAACTGAGCATGTGTAAGGATCTCTTTCAATCTGTTGGCCAGTCAGTCTAAACCAAATTTCTTGGCTTGGACAAATGAGAGTTTCCACTGTTGCATCTGTTTGTTGAAATATCTTAATTGGTATTCCATCAATTCTTAGAGACTTGTTTTTAACCAATGGCTTCAGTAGCTTGGACTTCTTCCTTCAGTATCACTGATACTTGAAAATGTACTATCTCCAGAAATAGCTGTACATCCACCAATTCTTAGGTCTCCTTCAATTTCTCTCAGTAATTATTGATTTCAGTGTAAGAATCTTTTACTTCTTTTGTTAAATTTGTTCATGGATATTTTATTATTTTAGATGCTATTGCATATGGAACTGATTACTTGATTTTCTTTTAGGAATAATTATCGTTGATATAGAAGAAATTTCACTGATCTTTGTGTGTTAATTTACTTAATTTGTTTATTAGCTCTAGTAGCTTTCTGTGGATTCATTGGGATTTACTATAAATGGAACCATGTCATCAGGAAAAAGAGATAGTTTTACTTTTAGTTTCCTAATTTATATGCCTTTTTATTCTTTTTTCATGCCTAATTGCTCTGGATAAGACTTTGAGTGAAATGTTGAATGGTAGTAGTGAGAGTGGTCATCCTTGTCTTGCTCTTGATTCTAAGGTAAAAACTATAAGGCTTTCTCCATTTAGCAAAATGCTAACTCTGGGTTTTTCATAAATGCCCTTTATCTTAGTGAGAAGTTTTTCTCTGTTTATAGTTTGTTGAGTTCTTTTTTTTTTTTTTTTATCATGAATAGATGTTGGATTTTGTCAAATGCCTTATCTGAATTGTTTAAAGTGGTCATGTGTTTCTCTTCCTTTATTCTATTAGTGTTACACTGCACTGATAGTTTTTCTAATGTTGAACTTACCTTTGCATTACTGAACCCTACTTGATCAAGGTGATTTACACTTCAGTAGCAATCTAACTATGATGAATATGATGCTAATTAAATCAATCAAGGGCAAGATTCTACTACCTGGAGGGATCACATTTCAAAGAAAAAATTACATTTAACCTAGGTACTGAAGGAAACATAAGAGAAATAAATTTTTGCCAAAAGAAAGGTGCGAGATCAAGTTTGAAACTGCATAGTGTTGGAGATTATTGAAAAGTAGGTATCAGTAGAGCTGAGAGTTTAGGGCATAACGACTAGAAAAAAAGACCACAGACTTTCAGACTAAAAACAACACATGATTGGTCAGACCAACCATTTTGGGCCTTAAGCGATAAAGCATCTGCAGGGAGCCATGTAAAGTGCTGGAGTGGTATGTTTAGACAAGTATCTCTGAACGTCTATGAGGGAAACAGAATCTTTGGCTGAATTTATGCCAAAGGTCAGAAGAGAAGTAGAGATGTATGAGATATCTCCTCTAAGTCCTTCTTCCTCTAAGCCCTTTGAACAAGCAATGTGGATGTGTTTCTAGGCAAAGACTGATGGAAGATTGAATAGTAATAATATTGCAATGTTGAATAAAGAATTGATATCTAGTAAATACTTGCTGAAGTAAGTATGCCCATTAAGAAATGATATTGGGTGAATAAAAAGTATGGCTATCCTTCCACCAATCTTTCTATCTAATCATTTTCCCATCTATCTTGATTTCTATCCTGTCATCCTTGCAATGACTGATCAAATAGTTACTGCATATTCTCTTTGTACCAGATTTTTTTTTAAAAAAACAACAGAATGTTAAAGGAGTATCTAATATCTGTGTTTGTTATTTTCAGGAAAACGAATTTGTCTGGGAGAGGGCCTGGCCCGTATGGAGTTGTTTTTAATCCTGACCACCATTTTACAGAAATTTACCTTGAAGCCTCTGGTTGACCCAAAGGACATTGACACCACCCCAGTTGCAACTGGGTTAGTCTCTTTGCCACCCTCTTTTCAGCTCTGCTTCATTCCTTCCAGAAGACGAACAGATATTTGACTATTTCTGTACTGTCATCTATAACTTCCCTCTACTGGGATTTCATTCACATCTTCCCAGTACAGGGATGCCTATTTTGAATTCTCCTCTCAACATCTCCTTATTCCTTCAAGATCCAGTGTAAATCCAATTCTGTTAAGAGGAGTTTCCTGTGTTTCAGGGTATAAATTATCTCCAGCATTCTATGCTCTGTAATACTTCCATTGGTCACCATCTGCCTTAATATTTACCTGAGTTATTACTGTTTTATCACTACAAATCAGAGCAAAAATAATTTCCTTTTCTGAATGCCATCAGGTAGATTCTGACTCATGGTGACACCATGTGTGTCAGAGCAGACCTGCTCGACAAAAGATTTTCAATGCCTGATTTTCAGAAGTTGTTCACTAGACATTTCTTCCAAATTGCCTCTAGATGGATATGAACTGTCAGTCCTTTGGTTAGTAGCTGACTGCTTAAACATTTTACCACTCAAGAACTACTCCAATAGAAAGTTGGCACTGATAGTTCATGACTTGATGTGAAAATAGAGATAGGGAAAATATCACCATTGAATTTAGTATAACATAAGACGCAAGGTTCTGGGTGCCCATGCATTAGAAACCACAGAAAAGTTTTGTCAAACAAATAAGTATAATGAGACCAAGTTGCTGCACTTAGCTATGTTAAAGAAAATGGAGAAAGAAAAGGATGAACTGTGAACTTCAAATTCCCAGACCTGTACCACATAAATCAATTAAGAGTTTCTATGTCTTCCCTGAAAGAAAACCTTGTCTCCTATAGTTACAAGGCTGAAATTTCTAAAAACAGAACCCAGAGTCTCATCCTGTAAGTTGCTGAATTACAATTCAAATTGACCTCCAAACCTTGCATGGTCTTCTTTTACAATGAATACATTGGAGAAGAAAGGAGATCCTGGAGATTGGAATATCAGTATTGGCAGACCCTGATGAGGTTGGGTACATATCACCCCCAAATTATCATGAGTCATCTTTATCAGTAGAAGCATCTCTTACAGCCCTGAGGAGTTAGTCATGCTTTTCCAAAAGAGCCGTTAATGGCCATCCCTCTGGTACTTGTCTTGCAAGACACTGTTGATTCTCCTCAGAAGTCACCTCAACCACTTCTCTTGGATTCTAGAACTATAACTAGACTCACACCCCAGCAGGTATAAAATGTGAGGTACACATAGTCTCAGTGGCACCATGGTCTTTTGGCATAACATAGTCCCCAGAGAAAATGTTCTACATCCAAACACATGAGTAGTGTTTGGGATTTTAAAGGTCATGAGCAGACATGAAGGTACAACAACTGGTCTCTCCATGTGCGGAAGAAAGAGTATTAAGAATTAAAGATGCTTGTACTCAACTAGTCCAGTGAACCAATGGTGCAGGTGAACATCAGTCACCACAACTCTGAGACCAGAAGAACTAGATGGTGCCTGTCTACCACTACCAACTGCTCTAAGATCACATTAGAAGGTTTCAGATAGAGTGGGAGAAAATATGGAACAAAATTCAAAGTAGTTTTTATAAAGACTGGATTTACTGGTCAGAAAGAGACTGGAATAACCTGAGACTATGGCCTTTCGGGTCTGGTATGGAACTCACCTTCATGGCCCAATTTTCCATCAAACAGTAGATAGGTATATTGTTGTTGAGTCATTTCTGACTTGTAGTGACCCTGTATAGGGTTTCCGAGGAGGGATGGTGGGTTTGAACCGCCAACCTTGAGGTTCAAACAGACCTTGTGGCCCAGTGATTTATCCTATAATGCCACACCAGGACTCCAGATAGATATAAGTGGGGGACAACAACATTAGCAAGGTATGCTCACCATGGAATGGTCAATCATTCAAGATCAAAAGGGCAACATTTACATTAGGACAAAGTTGAGAAGGGATGGGAAAGAGGGTAGAATGGAAATAGAAATCACAGAGAAGATGTGTGATACACTCCAAAGAACTGTGTGACTTTATAATTGACACAGATATCTGGACTATATGTGGGACAATGGATATCAAAGATATGGAATAATGGTAGAAGAAACATAAATGTAGTCACACTAGATTCATTGATATGAGTCCATTAAGTAGATAGTCTTAGGACCCCTGGTAATATAATGGATTACAAGCTGGGTTGTTAACCTCAAGGTCAGCAGTTCTAATCTATCAGCCACTCTGCTGAAGAAAAAGATTTTACAGTCCTAGTAAAGATTTACAGTCTCAGAAACCCTATGCAGGGTTGCTATGAGTTAGGACAGAATTGGTGTTCTGTTCCACCACCAACCAAGCAGAGGTTTTAGATTCAATTTCTTACCTCATACCCACCCTCCTAAGGGAGTCTAGAACAGATTTTTCACCATGGCTGATGGTGCTGTAGTTAAACACTGACCTGCTAATCACATGGTCAGCAATTCAAACCTAAAGCTGCTCCAAGGGAGAAAGATGAGGCTGCCTGCTCCGAGAAAGATTTACAGTCTCAGAAGGGACAGAGCGTTGTTATGAGTAGGGATTGGCAGTGAGTGAGTGAGTGAGAAATAAACTTGAAGAGTCTCAGACTCTTTAAAGTGTTCTGTGTTGACTCTGTTCTGTGGCTCATAATGTGCAACAGGAGCTGCTGCCACTGAACTGAGATTTTTATGCACTGAGTATAATTGAATCCCAGGGACCAAGTAGCAGCCCTTCTTAATTGCTAAGGGCAAAGTGGGTGAGGTTACTAGAATAGATAGAAAATTGGAAGCAGAAATAAGAATAATCTGACTCTCAGAAACCTATGGTATTGATAGTTGATTATGGTGTCCATCAAAAAAGGGAAATCTACTACTTAGTTCATCTCTATTAGTGATCTAGGTCAAGTCAACAGAAGTTCCTCTTGAAATACTAAAGAGCTAGTCATGGTCTTCAATACTCAGATTTGCACCAGTTTATAGACCCAGAATGCCTTGAGTGGCTGTGAAGACAGTCCCTTGAGGAAGACAGTCCCATTACACTGCCAAATATTTATGCTGGTAATGTTTTTCCAGCTGCTAGAGCAAATTTGCCAGAATCCCACTCTTACAAGGGACCTTGGATAGTGGAGCACCTGGCTGAGGCAAAATAATAGCCCATTGTGGCTTAACCCCAAAAGTACTCACCTTGAACAGGCCCCAGAAAGTGTGTGTCCATCACTTTGCTATCTCCTGGCATTCGCTCCTACACATCCATTACCAGGAAAGTGTCTTTTCTTCACATGCAGATTCCAAGCACATCACTCTTGGAAGATCCTGAAGCACGCATTGCGTGTCTTAGGGCTTCAGTGTGCCTGTATGAAAACAGGAGTAGTTGTAGTCCTGGTCACGGAGGCTGCTCTGTGTTGACTATTAATTTTCTCTATTGTAATGTGAGTTGTGATTTTGTCTAGGAGAGAATGAAAGAGAAGTCAACAATGCCAAACTCAAGGGTTGTTGTTGTTGTTAAGTGCCATTGAGTCAATTCCGACCCACAGCGACCCTGCATAGGGTTTCCAAGGAGCAGCTGGTGAGCTTGAACCACCGACCTTGCAGTTTAAATGACTTTGCAATCTGATGCATTAGACCACTGTGCCACACGAGGACTCTCAAGGGTACTTAAGACTTAATAATAAGTTGTGAGGGCAAGGGGTTGAGAACCCACTGAGGGAGGAGACAAATAGGAAGGCTGGTAGAACCTAAAAGTCCAGTAAAGGTATTTTACTCTAACTACATCTTCATGACAGAATTGGGAAGTATTTGGCTATAAAATACCAGTACACAAACTCAGGAAAGACTTCAGAAGGACAGGAAAAATAAGTCACATCCCAAGTCATGTGAAGGTAACATACAACTATCAACTTCAACTCTTTAAAGATATTTCCAACAGATATCTAAGTCAAAACAGTTTTTGAGCAGGGGGATTTGAAGCAATGAACCAGAACATTAGCTATGTGCAACATCCCAGAATGAGTCCTGTCATCTAGACCCACAAACTTTGTGGCAGGTTCCATTCTGTGTTTTGTCAAAGTGTACACCTAATTATCATGACCCCACCTACATGGGCCATTTCCTGAAACTCCCCACCCCTTTTATGAACATATATAATTACTTCTTTCCCCTCTTCCCATCCTCCCACCTCTGCTTTGGACCCTTTATAATCCAGGATCTCTCCTTATTTGTGGAGACAGAGGCTAGTGTTGCCTGTGCCCTCTATGTCTCCCTTGTGAGCTTTCTGTAACCTTTCTTCAATAAAGTTTTGTTCATGCAGAAAACCTTATGCCTCTCTTGGTCATTCTTGGTTAGTAAAAGACAAGGACCCTCCTTTACAGCATAGGGTGGAAAACAGCACTCTCCAATGGCATTACTAGAGGTCCATTCAGAAAGCGACAACTGGAAGCAAGACTGACAAAATAGCATTCAAAAGGCAAACAGAATACAAGGTACGCCCCAAGAAAGGACTCCAGCTAGCCACAATGGAGGAGTCAAAGGAAACCTCTTGAGGGTCTAAAGTACAGATGTCCACAGTTACATCTCCTAGGCATTCCTTGATAAATGAATTATTTTTGTTATGTGCCATCAAATCAGTTCCTACCCATAGTGATCCTATTAACAACAGAATAAGCACTGTCCAGTCCTGTGCCATCCTCACAGTTGCTGCTACACTTGAGCCCACTGTTCCTGCCACTGTCCCAATCCATCTCATTGAAAGTCTCCCTCTTTTTCACTGATCTTCAACTTTGCCAAGCATGATGCCCTTCTCCAGGGACTGGTCCCTTCTGATAACATGTACAAAGTATGAGAGATGAAGTCTCACCATCTTGTCTTCTAAGGAGCATTCTGGTTGTACTTCTTCCAATAGAGATTTGATTGTCCTTCTGGAAGTTCATGATTCTTTCAATATTCTTCTCCAACACCACAATTCAAGTGCATCAATTTTTCTATGATCTTCCTTATTTGCTGTCCAACTTTCACATGCATACAAGGTTACTGAAAATACAATGGCTTGAGTC